GTGTTAATGTGATATATCATGTTTATTGATTTGCATATATTGAACCATCCCTGCATCTCTGGGATGAATCTTAACTGGTCAGGGGAATGATCTTTTTAATGTGCTATTGAATTCAGTTTGCATGTATTTTGATGAGGATTTTTGCGACTATGTTCATCAGAAATATTGGCCTGTTGTTTCCTTTTGTTGTGACCTTGTTGGGTTTTGGTATCGGAGTAATGCTGGCCTTGTAGAATGTGTTAAGATGAATTAATTCCCTGCTCTTCAACTTTTTGGAATAGTTTGAAAAGTATTAGTTTTAGTTCTTCTTTAAATGTTTGGTAGAATTCAGCAGTGAAGGCATCAAGTCCTGGGCTTTTCCTTGATGGGAAACTTTATTAATGACTCAACCTCATTACTTGTTATTAGTCTGTTCAGATTTTCTGTTTTTTCATGATTCAATTTTATAGGTTGTATGTGTCTAGGAATTTATCCAATTCTTCTAGGTTTTCCAGCTCGTTGGTGTACAGTTGTTCATAATAGTCTGTTATAATCGTTCATATTTCTGTGGCATCAGTTGTAATGTCTCCTTTTCATCTGTGATTTTGTTTATTTGAATCTTCTATTTCTTCTGGTGAGTCTAGCTAGAGCTTTATTGATTGCATTTATCTTTTCAGCATAACTAACTCTTCATTTCATTGATATTTTATTTATTAATATTTACTTCTTTAGAGATAGGGTCTTGCTCAGTTGCTCAGGCTGGAGTGCAGTGATACGATCATAGCTCACTGCAGCCCTAAACTCCTGGGCTCAAGTGATCCTCCTGCTTTCACCTCGCAAAGTGCAGGGGTTACAGGCATGAGCCACCATGTCCAGCTGCATTGGTCTTTTGTATTGTGTTTTAGTCTGTATTTCATTTATTACAGCAAATAGTACTGCCTCACCATTGTGGCTGCCCAGACTGTTTCAGATATTAATAAGCTGTAACAGCTCAAAGATATCTTGTGCTAATCATGAGAGGTATTCTTCTTCCTATTGACTATACCAATTTTTAATTTTCTGATCTTTAAAATAGATAGCACCCTTTCAATGACTAAGAGGGACAGAAGACAGAAATAAAGATTTTATTAGTTACAAGTCCTGAGGGGTACACTGTACACGCAGAGGCCACACATATGTAGGTCAGTGGCCGCATAGAGAGAGAGCAAGATGGACACATGGGTCAAGGCCTTTATTAGTCTCCAGGGTTTTATCCAGGGAGATTTCCCTCAGGGAATTTTAATTGGTGGGTTTAAAGCAAGCAGGCGTGAGTTCCAGGAAGTCATGCTGTAACTGAGAGGTGGTCACTGTGTTATTCATTTTTATGGAGTCCAAATTTTATATACGTATATTTATATATACATATATATATTCTTAGCAGTTTTTGCTTTTTGCTGTCATATGTAAAATCCAAGATCATCAGTATCCCCCCTTTTTTCTAAAAGTATTATAGTTTTCCTTCTTCTGTTTTGGTCTGTGATCTGTTTTGGTAAATTACTATATTTGGGGTGATGTAAGAGCCCAACTTCATTCTTTTGCATGTGACTATCCAGCTGTCTCAGTACCAATTTACGAAATGCATATTCTTTCCCCATTCTTGGCACATTTTTTGAAATAAGCCAGTCCAATAATAACTGCACATTCCACTTACATGAAGTACCTAAGATTCATAGAGGCAGAAAGTAGAATGATGGGTGCCAGGGCCTGAGGGGAGAAGGTTTAGTGGAGTTGTTGTTTAACGGGCAGAGAGTTTTAGTTTTGCAAGATAAAACAATTATGGAGATTAGCTTCACAATGTTAATGTTTTAAACACTACTGAACTATACTTTTTTATTTTTTTTTAAATTTTAGCATATTACGGGGGTATAAATGTTTAGGTTACATATATTGCCTTTGCCCCGCCAGAGTCAGAGCTTCAAGCGTGTCTATCCCCCAGACAGTGTGCCAAACTATACATTTAAAAATGGCTAAGATGTAAATTTTAGGGTATGTATATATTGCCACCATTAGAGTAAAAAGTTTTAAAGCAAGAGAGTGAAAACAAACCGCAGAATACAAGAAAATTTTGCAAATCATATATCTGATAAGGAACTTGTATTGAGAATACAAGTTATATAAAGAACTTTTATGACTCAATAATAAAAAGATATCCCAATTTGAAAATGGCAAAGGTTACATTATACGTAATGTGGTGGGGAAAAAAAAAGGCAAATGATCTAAACAGGCATTTTTTTCCAAGAAAGAAAGATGTACAAATGGCAAAGAGCACATGGAAAAATGCCGGGCATCATTAGTCATCAAGGAAATGGAAGTGAAAACCACAGTTCGATACCACTTCACACCCACTAGGAGGGCTAGAATCAAAAAGTGAAATAAGGGCCGGGCGCAGTGGCTCACGCCTGTAATCCTAGCACTCTGGGAGGCTGAGGCGGGCGGATTGTTTGAGCTCAGGAGTTCGAGACCAGCCTGAGCAAGAGCGAGACCCCGTTTCTACTAAAAAAATAGATAGAAATGATCTGGACAACTAAAAAACATATAGAAAAAATTAGCCGGGCATGGTGGCGCATGCCTGTAGTCCCAGCTACTCAGGAGGCTGAGGCAGTAGGATCGCTTGAGCCCAGGAGTTTGAGGTTGCTGTGAGCTAGGCTAATGCCACGGCACTCATTCTAGCCAGGGCAACAGAGTGAGACTCTGTCTCAAAAAAAAAAGAAAAAAGTGAAATAATAAGTGTTGTCAAGGATATGGAGAAATTGGAACTTTCCTACACCGCTGGTAGAAATATAAATGGTGCAGCCACCTTGGAAACCAGTCTGGCAGTTCCTCAAATATTAAACATAGAATGACCATGTGATCCATCAATTCAACTCCTATGTATGTGCCCAAGAGAAATGAAATCATTCGTCTATAGAAAAACTTCTACATGAATGTTTATAGCAATCTTATTACTAAGAGTTAAAAGGTGGTGAGCCCAGGAGTTTGAGGTTGCTGTGAGCCAGGCTGACGCCATGGCACTCTAGACCCGGCAACAGAGTGAGACTTTGTCTCAAAAAAAAAAAAAAAAGTGTTAAAAGGTTGGAAAAACTCAAATGTCCGTTAATGGATGAATGGATAAACAAAATGTGCTATGTCCATACCATGAAATATTGTTCTGCTATAAAAACAAATGAAGTATTGATGCATACTCCAACATGAATGTCCTTGAAGCAATTATGTTAAGTGAATGAAGTTAGTCACAACACACATTGTGTGATTCCATTCTGGTCCAGAATGGAAAACCTGTATAGCAACAGAAAATAAATTAGTGTTTGCCTAGGGCTAGTACTTGGAGGAGGAAGATGAGAAGATACGGGAGTGATAGCTAAGGGGTACAGGGGTTTCTTTTTTGAGGTAATGAAATGTTCTAGAAGTAACTGTGGTGATGTTTTCAGGTTATCTGTGAATATACTGAAAACCATTGAATTCTACACTTTAAATGGGTGGATGGCATAGTATGTGCATATCTCAATAAAGCCATTTAAATAAACAAATGCATTAGGAGGTTTTTATCTATTTATTTATGTATTTGTAGAAACGGGAATCTCACTATGTTGTCTAGGCTGATCTCTCTCCAACTCCTGACCTCAAGTGATCCTCGTGCCTGGGCCTCCCAAAGTGCTGGAATTACAGGCGTGAACCACTGCGCTCGGGAGCATTAGCAGTTTTGATGCAATTTCTTAAACATACTGAGTTTCCATGAACATTCCAAATTTACATAACCTTTTATTGTTTTTTTGTAAAGTTACTGAAAATAGGAATTAATTGCCTGATGGACAATATAGCCGCTTACATTTCAAAGTTCTCCAGGAACATAGTCAAAAATTGATCCTAAATAAATATCTTTCTAGTGTAAAATGTACACCTCACAGTTTTATTGAACACATCTCATGGCTTGAGGTTGGACTGAGAGTTCCTCTGCTCAGGCTAGGGTTATGGGATTCAAATTTCCCACTAGAGGCTGGGCGCTGTGGCTCACGCCTGTAATCCCAGTCCATGTGGGAGGATGGCTTGAAGCCAGGGGTTGGAGGCCAGGTTGGGCAATATAGTGAGACTTCGGTCTCTACAAAAAATAAAGAAAATTAGCCGAGGGCCACGGATACCCGTAGTCCCAGTTACCCGGAAGGCTGAGGCAGGAGGATCGCTTGAGCCCAGGCGCTCCAGGCTGCAGTGAGCTATGATTGAGCCACCACACTCCAGCCTGGGCGACAGAGCGAGACCCTGCCTCTGAAACAAAACAAAACAAAGCAAACAAAAAAGCCCCAACTTCCTACTAGAGCTAGGTGCTAAGAAGTTCTAGGGATTCCTTTTCTAAAGTGCCAGATATGTTGGGGGTGAAGAAAGGATGGGTGTAAGTCTCAACCCTGTCAAAATGTAGCCAGATTCTTTGTTACAGACGATGAGGTCACTTTTAAGTGTCTGCATTTGTAAACAAGGGCCACAACTCCATGAATGGCCTCACAGCCTTATGCTAACCTTGGGAGGGCATCTGACCCTCCCGTTCCAGTCCGGCGTGACCTGCCCTCCATCTCCCCCCAGCTCTGGACTAAGGGCCTCGCTTTATCTAGAAAACTGAGTCTACAATATTCTGCGCACACTTGTGTCTCTGCGCTCAGAAGGAGCTGCGGGCAGACATCGTTGTCAGAGCTGGTCTGGAACAAGTTCTGCGTAAATGGAAATATCCTTGGCAGGGACAGATGCCTGGCCCCGGGCGAATGCAGGGTGGGCTCAGCTACGCGACTTCCGGGCCGACTGTCAATCAGGCAAAGGAGACGGGTCCTTACGTTCTTACTGTCCAATCAGAGGCGCCGCCGGGAAGGCGCGGCGGGGGGTGGGGGTGGCGGCGCTGCGCTCACGGCGGGGACGTAGCCAGCGGCTTGGGCTGTGCTCTGCCTCGGGTCCCCCAGCCCCAGCAGGGCCTCGGGTGGCGCTGGCACCTGTACGCGCCGCGGGAGCCGTGGGAAGGACGCCGGGACACCCCGGGAGCCGGGAAATGGTGAGCGTGCGGGGCTGGGGGTCCCCCAGGCCGCGAGGAGGAGCTGGTTGGAACCGGCTGTGGCGGGACCTGGGCCTCCCCGCGGTCTGCTCCGTAGTCTACGGACCCGAGTCACCGCTGGTGCAGCTCGGCCCTCGGTCCCTCCGGCCTGCGGGGTGGGGCTGGGCCGGCAGCCGGGCCCCCGGGCGTCCAGCTCCGAGTCCGCAGCCTCGCGTGTCCCCAGATTGTGCGATGACGGCGGGAGGGTCGTCGTGGGAGGGTCCCGACTCGGTATGTGGGGGTCCTGCGTGGGCGGGGCTGAGGTCTGCAGGGTCCCCAGTCCCTTGTGTCTCCCAGAGGAAGACCTATTTACCCCTGAGTTTTCCAGGTGTATAGGAAGCAAGGTCTCAAATCCATGACCGTGTCCCCCAGCGTAGCTCTTTTTAGGGCTGACCATAAATCCCTAAATTTCCAGATCCCTCCCGAATTCCCAAATGCCAGCTGCTTCTCTCCAGTTCACAACGTCATTATCAACTGTTTGCCCTCCGTGGTGCATTTCAGCCAGCGCCGTATTTTAATTATCATTTTCCACAGGGGAATGAATGGTACTTTTTCAAAAAATGATTTAATTGATGTTTTTGGATATTTGCATGAAAACAAAGTAGAATATAAGCACCTGGAGCTACGTTGTATGAAATACTTGTGCTTCTCCTCCCGGCATCTCTCCTGGGACTTGACATCCTATGAGAACTCCTCTGGGTTGAGGTTCCTTTGTGGAAAATTTCCTGGGTCATCTAGCCTTTCAGCACAGGTTCCAGGTCAGCACTGCCCCTCGTGGGGTTTGTCACCTAGAAAAGATTTATGCACTTACCTGAGTCTCATTTTTTCAATAAATGTAAAATGTACATAACCAAGAGATCTTGAAAGGGGATGTAAAAGAGGTGAGTTTCAGAAAAAATAAAATATCCAAGTATTACGTTGCATTTGTTAAAAATTCTTGTTTCTCTTTTTTCTTCTCCGGAGGATGTGTAGTAAGTTTCTCGGGTCTATTTATTTCCTTTTGGGTGATTTCAAATGGAATTACAGGGCTTAGATTTACAACACCCAGAATTGTTCAAATAGGATTGTTTACCAAACTATTTCTTGTCATGGAAATAATAATTGACTGACATCTTCATTTTCTTTCTTTTTTTTTTTCTGAGACACAGTCTCGCTCTGTCACTTGGGCTAGAGTACAGTGGCATCATCATAGTTCACAGCAACCTCAAACTCCTGGGCTCAAGTGATCCTCCTGCCTCAGCCTCCTGAGTAACTGGGACTAGAGGCACCTGCCACTATGCCTGGCTAATTGTTTTCTGTTTTTTTTTTTGTTCAGGCTGGTTTCAAACTCCTGAGCTCAAGCAATCCTCCTGCCTTGGCCTCCCAGAGTGCTAGAATGACAGGCATGAGCCACCGCAAAGGAATAGATGCTTGTGGGTTTTCTTGTTGAGCTAGAAAAGGTGTCTTACAACTTTGTTCTCTTTTTTATAGGTATATAACGGGTTTGAGTGATATTGCTGATTTCTTCAAACACTGTTTTTGTTTCTTTTAAATGTCAGCACTGAAGGATCGTTAGAGGTCAGGAGTTCAAGACTTACTTGGGCAACGTAGCCAGACCCCCATCTCTCCAAAAAATTAAAAAGAAAAAAAAATTAACCGAAGCTGCTATTGGACACCTCTGATCCCAGCTACTCTGGAGGCTGAGGTGTGAGGATGGCTTAAGCCTAGGAGTGGTGGGTTTTTTTTTTTTTTTTTGTGACAGAGGTCTTGTTGTGTTGACCAGGCTGGTCTTCAACTCTTGTCCTCAAGAGATCCTCCCACCTCAGCCTCCCAAAGTGCTGGGATTATGTGAGCCACTGTGCCCAGCAGAGCCCAGGAGTTTGAAGCTGCAGTGAGCTATGATCACACCACTGCACTTCAGTCTGAGTGACAGAGGGAGCACCCTGTCTCCAAATAAATGAATGAATGAATGAAATGACAGAGTGAGACCCGGTCTCTAAATAAATGAGCGAATGAATGAATGAATGAATGTGTATCAATCAATGTTGGTCCAGGCCACTTGACTGGCAAACAGACGCTGAGGCCAGTGACTCTAAGCTAAAGCCACCCTTGAGCCTACAAAGGGAGGTTATTGAAGGCCCAGTTGGGTCTTTCTGGGGAGCCTCCCCCAGCGGGTGCCCCCGCTGCTCACACCCACCATGGAAGGAGCCTTTTGAACTAAGAGAAGCTGCACAGCACAAGCGACAGAAGCTGAAGATCCACATGTACCTTGAGGGGTTGGGTCGAGGGGAGCGATGCCCTTTCAGAGGTTGTAGTTGTGGTTTCCTTGGGCCTATTTTTAGACATACAGGTTTGAGTTTTGCGACTGTTGTGTAGGTGCACTCAGTGTAATTTTTCCATACTAAGAAATTTGTGAAGGTCAGGAGTTCTGTCTCCTGGACTCAAGGTTAATGAAGTTGGGAGTTCATTTGGGTCAGAACTTTAATCCGAACCCAGCTGAGACTTTCCTTGCTTTTGAGAATTGTAGGGACAATTTCCCTGTCACCAGGGGAGAGGAGGGCATGTGGGGCTCCCGGAGTTCATTCCTGTGGCTGGCTAGGTGTCCCTGTCCTCCTTCTCCAGGGACTGACCCTCTCTAGGGGTTATACCCCAACAGGGAGAGTGTGGACCAAGCTTGTGTATGTGTTTAACGTTCTAAATGTAGTTTGTCCGTCTGAACTGTGGGGAAACAGGCTGCTTATCTGAGGTGATTAGAATATTTGTGGGTTTTTTTCCCCTTTGGATTTCTTTATCTGTTGAATATTGCAACGCTTTAATTCTAACTTCTGTTAAAACTTTGTAATTTTACTCCCTGTGTCAACGTGTAAGCTTTTTGGCTTCTTGGGCTTGAAATATAAGTTGATTGAAAGACATGATGTGACTAAGGCAAGAAAATTCTGGAACCAAACAGAGTATTTGTTCCTTTGGGCAAGAGAACTTCAAGATAAGAAATGGGTGTATTTATGTTCTCAAGTACATTTTTCATTTTTAGTTCAGTTTTTATATGTGCATGTCCTAGAGTACTTTGAAATTTAAAAGGCTATACTATTCCTATTGCAAGTGGATTCCCATTTTTACTGATAAGAGGAAAATGCAATTGAATTTCTCTTTTATTGGATATAGGAAAACTACTCAAAGCTTATACATATCTTTGAAAATCCTAATAGATTTAAGAAATTAGGCCCAAACCCTAATACATTATAATATGTTACTCATTCCTGATAACACCTCCCAGTGTGACATGGTGGAAGGACACACTTTGCTGCAGCTTGTCATAGTTAGAAAGACATTTGAAAGTTTTCATTTTTATGGTTTGCACTTGGGGAACTGGTACTATTTAAATGATTAAGTCTTAGAATGGTTTCCTATCTAGAAAATTTTAAATTTAAAAGAGCAAAAAGTAAGTTAGTGAAAAATAAAGATTATTACTTAGTGAAATATGATTTATATAAACTTATCTGTTTATTTTTAAGAATTAATGCATGCAGAGGTTCAAAAAAATCCACAGTGGTAAAGTCTAACTTGAGAAGACTCAGTGCCAGCATATCCTGGTCCACTCCAGTGCTCTTGCTCCAGCCACGCCCAAATACCCACTTTTGGTAACTTTTTGAGCATCCTGTCAGTGTTTTTTTTGTTTTTTTTTTTAAATAAAAACAAGCACTTGCAAATGCATGTTTTTCTTACTCATGTTTGTTCTTATAATGGATGGTCAGATCCACATTTTTTGATTTTGGCTGTGGACATCATAAGCCTCACACTTCCCCCTTCTTGTGCTGCACACCTGGACAAGCTGTGTCAACATTGGAACCACACCTCTGCTGGTGACCACAGGAACTGGTGCTCTGAGCATATTGTCCAGACCTTGACTGCCACCGTGTGGGCCTGTGTTCTCTTGTTCTGACTTGCCAACCTGCTCTGCTGCCAATGGCCGGCATATGCTTTGAGCTGCTGCTTTGAGCTCTGTTTCTGCGTGTTGCATATTGAAGCTTACCAAGTCTGGGTTCTATGTTCAGCTGACTGGAGTCAGCAGTTTTCATGGTTCCTTGGCATTTAGGAACAGGAAGATAGGATTGGGAACCTCAGTACAGCGGACCTGGGTGGTGTGTCTTGGCCTGGACCTATCTGTGTGTTGTAGAGTGAAGCCGTGACTACCTGTGTGCTTGGCCCTGGTATACAAGGTACTCACAGGAAGACTACTGCAAGCACAGTCATTTTTTAAAAAACAGAGAAAGAAAAGAGAGAGGGAAATCAGTCATTAGATGGTGGGCTGAGTCCACACTCTTAACAGCACAGGGCTCATCAGGACCCTTGAGTGCTGCTGCTGTTGGCTGCCCTGCCTCTATGGCAGCGGGGATGCTGACCCTCAGGATTATAGGGGATAATACCCATGATTCCCCTGCAGCATTGCAAAGGGTTTATTCAAACCCAACTGAAGCCCAGAGTCCTTAAACCCTATAAAGCAACCATCTTAATGGTTAAAGGTTAGGGAAGACCCTAAGCCTGACAATAGTGATTTGTGGCTCTCTAGAGGGAAAAATTTATAAATATCAGAGTAGAGAGGACACCTTCTCTCCTGAGATATATCCAGGGACAAAACAAACAAACAAAATTCAAGGTATGAAGGAAGAGAGGAAGGCAACAAAAGAAAAAATGCTGGGTCAAAGGTTCATAGTTTGACCCAGTTGGAAATCTGAAATACTCTAAAGGAATTTACACAATAAAAAATATAAAAAGGGTCTCTACATCATAGGGTGTGCTTAATTTTAATATCTTATGTAATGTATTAATTGACAAACCTTTATATATGGTAAACCAATACTAGGGCTCAAATTATAGTTAAGCCCAGGAAACCCACCAAATTTAAGCAACATATCCTCTGATAATCTTAGGGGAGTTTCTGAATATAGAATAGAGGGCAATTTGGTGTGTCTCACCTTAACCAT